TTAACATTATTTTATATGGCATATTTTGTGTTATAAAAGCACATTTTTGTAAGAAACGGGATAATTTCAAATAATAACACTTTAATTATTTCTTGTAACTATATTAATAATTTAAAAAATAAAATATTCAAAAGTTTTCTCTTTTATAATAGTAAAAGAACATGTTGTTCTATTTATTATACTTGCCATATTTTAAATAATAACTAATAAAAAATCATGTACAAGGAAGCAATTAATTTAGTGTGTATATGCAAAAGAAAAAGCAGATTCGCGTAATTTTTAATACATGGTTTTTAATTTATGTATAATAGAGGCTCACTGTGGCTACCACGAGAAACGGCTGCTACACCATCTGTTGGACCACTACAACGTACTGGAGCGGCCCGTGGTTAACGAGAGTGACCCGCTCCAGCTCTCCTTCGGCCTTACGCTCATGCAGATCATAGACGTGGTACTAAAATATAACTATTCTTAAAATTTACCTTTTAACTTATCCTAACAATTTCAATGCACTATTGCATGGGTTGAAAAACAAAGGCTCGTTCAATAAATAATTGTTCTTCAAGTTTTCGTACAAAACTAAATGCTTAAGCGGACAGACATGACAGACGTATCAACACTTTTTACAGAAAAGAACTTATTAGAAACACGTGATGATAATGTATTATAATTGGTCAAAATCATACATTATTTTTTAATAATTTAAGTAATTAAACTTATATTTGCATCTGTATAATTAATTTTCCATCATTCGAAGGACAACTGGCAAACACTGGAACTTTTTTGTGCACATTAATAGTTTGAGAATCATATTAAGAGATTGTAGATTAAAAATATGTACATATCTACAGAGTGTACTCTCACTGGCACCAGTTAATAGGATAAAATAACTCATAAACTAAAATTGGTGGCTCTAGCTTTTAATTTATAATAAACTTATTATTTAATTCATGTAAAAATAATTATTTTCTCATATGCTTACTCTTCAAGCCTAAAAGTTGGCCGACCCCTGCACTAGCGAAACGGCTCTATTTGGTTCACACTTTTTGTAATTTAACAGATTTAATTTTAAGGCAAAGTGTATCTTTAACCGACTTCCAAAAAGGAGGAGATCCTATGTTCGTCTGTATGTTTTTTTTACACACACGTGTTTGTTCCACCGTTGAATTTCCAAAATAAGACGAATAATTAGTATATAAAGAAACATGCTACATGCTTATGTATGTTAAAAATTGAATTAAAGTAGATTAGTAGTTCAAGTCCTCATTGATATCGATAAAGTAAGTCATAGATGAAATCAAATGATATTTTACATTTGGCAGCGCGATATTTCGTATTATCGCAATGGCCAATAACCTTTTTATAAGATACAATCTTTGAGATTTTTCGTTCATAATTTTAAATTAATTTTCAACAAAGTATCTATAATTTACCAAAAAAAGGAAAATATTTTCGTGGGAAAATTGATGCCACAAAATAAATGTTTTTATCTCGAATTCTAGAAGAGTGTCGCATGTTTTAAATAATTTTGAATATTTTTCACAGGATGAAAAGAACCAGCTACTAATAACAAACATCTGGCTTAAACTGGTAAGTAAAAGGAATATAAACCAAAACATGACTAATACGAGTATAATTGTGATGTAACATGTAAATTAATATAACATGAATATTAAACACAATTTTTTAAATAGCCTTAATAAAAATAATATTAGTAAATAGACGAAATAATTAATATTTAGAGCTATATTTACTCTGTTTAGGAGTGGAATGATATGAACTTGAGGTGGAATACTTCAGACTTCGGCGGTGTCAAAGATTTACGAGTTCCGCCACACAGGTTATGGAAACCAGACGTTCTCATGTACAACAGGTAATTTATACATACATGTACATGTGAATTGTGATCATCAAATAATAATTTTATCATAGGATGATTTTATATATATTATATGATAACTACATTTATGATCAGACCTAAAATGTAGCTAATATATAAAAAACTGCCTCAGTGGTGTAGTGGCTAGCATGTACGGCTGCACACCCGGAGATCCTGGGTTCGAGTCCCGGTTCGGGCCAAGTTTAGTTATTGAGTCTTTCTGTATAGGAAGTCTCAGTAACAGCCCGGAGTTGGGAAGTTGGCGGTGTTTCACCCCCGTGCCTCGGAGAGCACGTAAAGCCGTCGGTCCTGCGCCTTAACTCTTACCGGTCGTGTCGAGCAGTCGTCCCACCGGAGTATGAGAGTGATAGGAATAGAGAGTGCACCTGTGTCTGCGCGTACACTTGTGCACTATAATATCTCCTGCGCAGTTGGCTAGTCTCAATGAGATTGGCCGCCGTGGCCGGAATCGGTCAGGAGAACATCATCATAAAAAAAAAATTAATTCAAATTTAAATATATACTTACTAAACAAATAAAAATAAATCCCAAAATATTATCTAAAAAAGTTTTCTAACTGTAATATAGAATATAAGTATTTACTTCTGATATTTTAATACAGTGCAGATGAAGGCTTCGACAGCACTTACCCGACCAACGTAGTAGTACGAAACAATGGCTCATGTCTTTACGTACCACCTGGGATCTTTAAAAGCACTTGTAAAATAGATATCACCTGGTTTCCATTTGATGATCAGAGATGTGAAATGAAATTTGGCAGCTGGACTTACGATGGTTATCAAGTAAGAGATACGCTAGTTGTTGCGATCTGTTTTATAGAGTAAAATATTCTATATATTACTCAAAAAAAATATTTTTGTAGATATATATTTGTAATAATATGACATATATAATACTTTCTTAGATTTACGCGAATATTAGACATTTTAAATAAAACTATCTTTTCGGATTTTGTCGCGGATTTATTTGTATTTTTGTTTCCCGACGTTTCGAATGGGGAGAGTCTCTCCCGTGACCATGGATGCTGTAAAGCATTCGAAACGTCGGGAAACAAAAATACAAATAAATCCGCGACAAAATCCGAAAAGATAGTTTTATTTAAAATATGACATATATAATAAATTTTAGCTGGACCTACAACTACAAGATGAAGGTGGAGGAGACATAAGCAGTTTTGTTACAAACGGTGAATGGGAGCTTATAGGTATATCATAAATTTATTCTTTTCAGTAACTTTTTAGAAAAAATGAACATTAAACTAATCATTATTTCCAATTCAGGAGTGCCAGGCAAGCGTAACGAAATCTACTACAACTGTTGTCCTGAACCGTATATCGACATTACGTTCGCGGTAGTCATTCGGCGAAAAACTTTATACTACTTTTTCAATTTAATTGTACCATGCGTGCTTATCGCCTCCATGGCTTTACTCGGCTTCACGCTACCACCTGACTCTGGAGAAAAACTCTCTTTAGGTAATCGTTTATACATATTATGTAATCTATATTGCAATATATATATATATATATATATATATATATATATATATATATATATATATATAGCATTTGAATAAAACTATTATAAGTGCTATGATTTTTTAACAGGCGTTACAATTTTGCTGTCTCTGACTGTGTTTCTTAACATGGTAGCAGAAACTATGCCGGCTACTTCGGATGCAGTACCATTATTGGGCACATATTTCAATTGTATAATGTTTATGGTGGCTTCTTCGGTCGTATCCACGATCCTCATCCTCAATTACCACCATCGACACGCAGATACCCATGTGATGAGTGATTGGGTGCGTATGAACATGCATCTACAATAACATTTATTTAGACAACATACAAAATATATATGTAATTTATTTTTAATTTACATAGATCCGATGTGTGTTTCTCTACTGGTTGCCTTGGATCCTTCGTATGTCGCGTCCAGGCGACGCGACCACGCCGCCACCCGCTCGCGCGCCTCCACCACCGGACCTGGAGTTGCGCGAGCGATCCTCTAAATCGCTCCTAGCGAACGTGCTCGACATCGACGATGACTTCCGGCATACCCACGCGCAGCAGCCGCCTTGCTGCCGATACTACAGGTCCCTCGACGATCTACACGAACACTACTCGCCGTAAATAGCACGGATAAAATACTACACCCTGCCTCGAACGTTCCGCAGTTAAACCCGGCCCGAATAGCTTAACTGACATCAATAACTTCATCTAAATTCACATAATGTATCACATCTCTTTAGATTTTCTACTCTGGGTCTTGGGTCAATTCTATCACACGATTCAGCATAATTCCCGTAGAGCCCTACGTTCCTATGCCGAACCTGTAGTGTAGTTAGCAACGGTGTATAAAGAATTACGGAATCGTATATTTGCAGGAGTGGCGAAGAAAATGGCGCTGGTCTAGCGGCGCATAGCTGCTTTGGTGTCGACTACGAGCTCTCGCTCATACTCAAAGAGCTTCGAGTCATCACAGATCAGGTCTATGAAACAAATTTTGTATATAAACTTTTACTATCGCACCAACGACAACATTATAATTTTCCATGTTGTTACAGATGCGCAAGTCGGACGAAGATGCGGACATTTCGCGCGACTGGAAATTCGCTGCCATGGTCGTGGACAGACTGTGCCTTATTATCTTTACCCTGTTCACAATCATTGCCACGCTAGCCGTGCTTCTGTCCGCACCCCACATCATGGTGTCGTAGCGACCCGCCCGCTTGCGGCTGCGCATGCGTAACGTTCTGTGATACCGCAAATAAATTAAGTTGTGATGTGTGAAGTGGTCCGGGCGCCGACGCTGCGACGCTGGAGTTGCCGCCGTTTGCCTCGTCGCCCGAGCCCCCCTATAGAGATAAGTTACCGCTGACTGCCATCCCTTTGCATTGAACCAAATACTGCCTATCCTGTATCTTGTCCTTTACTCTCTGAGGCCTGTCTTCAGCGGCTTAGTCTATGCTCTTTCAAATATCAATGACTGGTAATTTTATTCAGAGATCATTCAGTCTTATACAGTCAACTGAAGTGCGTAATAAGCAAGCAATACTTTTCGGTTATGTAAGTCATATTAAGCGTTGATCTATTTACAACAATAAAAAATAAACTAAGTAACGCGGCAGTGAGCCCAGTTTGAGGCCACCATTTTGATGGCCAGGCTTATAGTGATCTACGCTAGAGTAGTCGCCAATTTGGACCACATCTGTGACTGTGGTTGGTACAGAAAATTGCACAAAAACGTCTTCCTTCTTACCGTTGAACAACCTGTCGCATGTAAAATTTAAATCTTTATTAGATCTTTTTCAAATCTTAAAATTTATGTACAGTTTAGGATTTGGGCAGTGAAGCAATGGCCCTTTGTTTCCTTCTTATTCGATTCCGTGAATCGTTGTTATGATCCCTAAGTTTATTTTCAGATACATTTGTGTCAGTAGCTAGAATAGTACTTTACAAACAATGTTGATTCAATTGGTACAGGTTGTGATATGCCTCGTTGTGAACGGGTCGATATTGTTATAAATGGTAAAATATCCAAAGCTATAGCTTAATAAAACGTTCGTTAAAAGTTGTAGTTAAAGTATTATTTTATTAAAATCATACTTGGGTCTTTCGGAATAACTTATACAAATAATTACGTTACATTACATTACATGGTGATATCACGTTTGTACCTTGTAATTCTTTCAATACAATCATAATACAGAAATAATATAGCTTTTAAAGTTTCTCAGGCAACAAGTATATCAAATAAAATATAACCATACTATAATATATTTCCCTCATAACTTATTACGAAATCCCAAACTACACTTGGTATTACATGTATAAATATATATAATATGTTATTATATAGAGATGTATAAATTTTACTGACGACACAAAATACAGTTGACACATACATACAAAACTCTCTATAGACCTCGATTACATAGGTTGCCTTTCACGAGGTATTGCCAAAAACAAAACCAGTCTAATTGATAAATAATTTAATCATTATGTCATATCATCAAATCTTTTGTAATCATTCATTTTGAAATTGTCTATTCACTGTTACTTTTTCGAAAACATTGTAAGCCTCTCAAAAGGAAAACTAAACCAAATTATTGGAGCTGCGCGGATACATTATAAAATCGAATCGATTGTATCCTCGCAGGCCTCCTATTAGACGGTTTTCCTTTTCCGAGGTCCCATTTTAAAATAATCATAGACGTTCCTTTGGAAGTTGCGGAACGACTGTGATTATATATCAGTGTTTTCTATCATCCCTTTATTTATTTATTGTTATATAACCTGATCTCCTCAGCCTCACCGGCGGGAGAGCCGTGCGGCGGATAAGGCGCATTGGATACCTCATTGTTGGTTATGACTATCTTCGTATTGGATAGTGCAGTAATGCGCCACATCCACGTCGGCGTTGGGACGATATTTGTCCCCATAATTTGTTCAATTGTTAGGGTTAATACTCTGAATTGCACTTTGTTTATTAAATATAAACGAATGAAAAAATAAGCTTTTTATTTATATTTTGTTGGTACATTTACAAAGTCATATTACGCATAGAACGCTTAAATAGCCCTGACCTATATATCCCTAGGTAGTTTTGGGACCAGCCTGAGTGGCTGAAGACAATCGATGATATCCCGAGGGATAACTGCACATGCGCACTTACTGGTTGAACAGAGAAGAAGCATAAGTGTTAGCTCTACTTAGAACATATTATAACTAAAGTTTTTAAGAATAATTCATCAGAAATGTGCGTACTACGTGTATTTTAAATTTTAACATAAAGAAAGAATGGACATAATATGTACATATCTGTATTATTATTTTTATTTAAGAAACATTTAAAAATATATATAAACAACAGACTATTAGTCTCAACTTAATTCATAAGCCATTAAAATTATACCAAACGTAAAAAACCAGATAATGATATAATACCTTTCCTCCTTTTAAATTAGTCAAGTACGAGTACACTTACGTACCACATATTAATTATCGTAGATATATTTTGAATAAGATATGAGAGACAAGATATTTCATAAATATGTATATATGAAAGAAAAATTAAGCAACAGTTAACACAAGTTCAATAAATATATACAATCAATTTATCAGAAAAACTATTTTACCAAAACGAATAATTTCTTAGGTTGACGTGAATATTTGATTGTTTCATTTAAAATTATGATCAAAACTAGTATACATGGTAAACATACATAAGTAGACTAAAGCAATGCTTTCAAGTGTTTTAAAGTCGTTTTGATATAGATTATTATGATAACGATGAATGATGCCATGGCTAAAGACTACATTCGCTTCGACGTTGTATGAGAGAGTAAAGCATAGTGGTTGGGCGGGCGGCGGTGCGACGGCGGGCGCAGAGCGCTGGCGTGAAGCCGCGCGTGCCGCGTGCGGCAGTGGCCGCCGCCATGACGGCAGGGTCGCGCGCACCCCTCCTGGTTATTGCACTGTTTGCAGCACTCTATTCAGGTACGTGATATTTGCAATATGCAATTATAATTTACACCTGCCCGTATATATAGAATAATATCTTAAAAATAATAACGGAAGTTTGATACAATTTTTAATCAATAGAGCGATTAAAAGTAACGCTAAATATAAAAAAATATATAATAATAAAACAAATAAGGGTCGTCCTTTAAAAAAATGAGATAATAAATGATATTAAATTGTATTTATTACCTAATAATTTTAAAAACGCCTAATAAAATTTAAAATTAATAATAGGGAACAATTTTATATATTTTGAAAAATAAAATTACACTTTAATCACTTAGGAACCATATAAAGCATATACCTATAGCAAATAAAACATAGATAGCATGCATTTTTATCATAAAACTTTGCCATATTGATACGTTTCATCTCACGAAGAGATCCTTATTGATCGTAGTTGCAGCATCAGCGTAGTACGAAGTAGCGAACCCTCTTCCGATAATATGACCTTTAGAATTTAAGATCTTGTTATTACATTGTTATTAGTACATTATTTTAACGCTATAGAAATGTTGTTCAAACTTACTCGATGGATTTAGTTTATTTTCAATAAAATATACGTGACCTACTTAAAAGTGTCAGTTTTGTCTCATATTTAATATTATCTTTATTTACACAGGATGGTGCTCAGAGGACGAAGAGAGATTAGTTCGAGATCTGTTCCGTGGATACAACAAGCTCATCCGGCCCGTTCAAAACATGACACAAAAAGTGGATGTTCGATTTGGCCTTGCCTTTGTACAACTTATTAATGTCGTAAGTAATGTTTTTAAGAGCCCTTTATTTCTCATCTTAAAGAATCTACTTCGAACAATGTTTTTATTACTTACTTCATGTACTTATACTTTAGCATTAACCTACTGTCTCGCTCGGGTAATTTTTAGTATTTTTCTCTCTTTTTTTTTAAATATTTTATACACAATTATTTTGCAAATCTCATGGACCTAGGATGAAATAGGTAAAGTATCTATAAGTATTATTATATGGAGGATAAAAATAATCCTACTAAATAAGAATATACTTAAAACACGACATCACATCACAAGACACATTTCTCGAGATTAATTTAATAATGAAATTTAATTAACAAAAATCATGATCTTCTTTAAAACTTATTGATCTTTTTTAAAACTTAATGTAACAGTTTCCACATAGCAATATCCGTACAAAGCACTTTCCTGCAGAGTAAAATTATGTAAACAACACACTTTAAAATTTTATTCTATATCTATTTTTCGCATAGTAAGAAAATATTAGTAAATATTATCCCACTATCAGAAACTCATTTGGAATGTGGAATGTAAAATAAATCCTCTTGCGCTTTTGTAAATTTAACACTTGTTCAGAAGAAGATAAATGAGCTACCAATAATCGGCAGGCGTATGCATTATATTCTCTAACACATTGCTTGATTTGACTTTATAAAAGAGACTTTCAAATCAAAACTTTCAGTTCGTCAGATTTGTTATCAGCTATCACATTCTAAAATAGAACTTATTATATAAATAATACGTACAGTTTACCATTTCCGCTTATTTATTTTGGATATTATTGTAATAATTGTGATTTTCTATACAGAACGAGAAAAACCAAATTATGAAATCAAATGTTTGGTTACGTTTAGTATGGATGGACTACCAATTGATGTGGGATGAAGCCGATTACGGAGGTATAGGTGTGTTAAGATTGCCTCCTGACAAAGTCTGGAAACCTGATATTGTGCTTTTTAATAAGTAAGTTACTTCAAGTATTAAAGCTTTATCTAAAGAAAAAACCATAATACATATATTTAAATAATTGTAAATACAAGAGTTGATAATAGTGATAAATACTTTAATTTTAGTGCCGACGGAAACTATGAAGTGCGATATAAATCCAACGTTCTTATTTATCCAAATGGAGAAGTTCTGTGGGTTCCTCCGGCTATTTATCAGGTAAAGAAAAAAAAAATATTCTGAAACAAGTACAAAATCTCTTAATATTATTTTATACAATTTTGTAATTATTTTTCAGAGTTCTTGTACAATCGACGTTACATACTTTCCGTTTGACCAGCAGACATGTATCATGAAATTTGGATCATGGACTTTCAACGGCGACCAAGTCTCACTTGCTCTATACAATAACAAGAACTTCGTTGATCTCTCTGATTACTGGAAATCTGGTACTTGGGATATCATCGAAGTACCTGCATATCTGAATATATATGAAGGAAACCACCCAACTGAAACAGATATTACGTTTTATATCATCATAAGGAGGAAAACTTTATTTTATACCGTTAATCTAATATTGCCAACGGTTTTGATTTCATTTTTGTGTGTCTTGGTCTTCTATTTGCCTGCTGAAGCTGGAGAAAAAGTAAGCATATATTTTTAGTATTTTTTTAAACTTTAAAACAAAACAAGTTTATGGACTATGTATTTATTATATTGTTTTCAGGTAACCTTAGGTATAAGCATTTTGCTGTCACTGGTCGTGTTTCTACTTCTCGTATCAAAAATTCTTCCGCCGACGTCACTTGTATTACCACTTATCGCTAAATATCTCCTATTTACCTTTATTATGAATACCGTCAGTATCCTCGTTACGGTTATTATCATTAACTGGAATTTCAGAGGTCCCAGAACACACAGGTAAATTTTCGAATATAATTATATAATCTTTATTATATTAACTTCAAATACTTACAATATGTTCCGTTTATGAATACAGAATGCCGCTATGGATCCGAAGTGTCTTTTTGCACTATTTACCAGCAGCGCTACTTATGCGTCGACCACGGAAGACTCGATTGCGTTGGATGATGGAAATGCCAGGTATGGGAGCTCCACCGCACGCAGCCGCTCCCCACGACTTACCGAAGCACATAAGGTACATTGAAAGAATCTATACTAATATTATAAAGAGGTAAAGTTTGTGATCTTGTGAGTTTGTGAGTTTGTGAGTTTGTGAGTTTGTGACGTTGTAGGGGGTAATCTCTGGATCTACTGAAGCGATTTTCAAAATTCTTTTACCAATAGAAAGCCACGTTCTTTCTGAGTGTCATAGGCTATATATTAACCCGAAAAATGAAAAGGCTTTTTCGTGGAAGTCGGATTTGCAAAGTAAGTCGGAGAAAAAACGGTCGAAAAGGTTTCTTACGGACGCTGCCTTAACGATGAGAGATATATGATTATGTTCTAGAGAAAAGTTGTAGAGCTTAATAATGCCTACAAAAAAGTCACCGACAGCATATGTCTAACTTTTATATTTAAGTCACAAAAAGTAGTATTTTGTATTAAAAAAATAATTTAAATCGGTAGGTCATGTTTATTGGTCATATTATCAACAATTATGAATTCTTATCAAAATAAGTAAATTTATCGTCTAAAATGTTTAAAACAAAGACTTTTCCCTTTTACTGCATATAATTTGGACAAATGGTTAAAGAGATAATACAACATATTCGTAGGTATGGACGAACCCGAGCGAGCTGTTTGTCTGTTTTTCTGTTTGTACGGGCTAATCTCCGAATCTATTGGACCGATGTAAATGAAATTTTGCATTGTGGTACCTTATATCCCCGGACTACATCGTAGATACTTTTCATTCCGGAAAATTATAGAGTTCCCGTGGGATAGTTAAAAAACTATAACAACTTATACAGCTTAGTACACAAAAACTAACGCACCTAATTTAGTAAAATTTGGCATGCTGATACCTTATATTGCCGGTCAAACAACAGGTTACTTTACATCCCGGGAAAATGAACGGTTCCCGTGGGATAGATCTGTTTATGCTTTTCTAGAGGTGAACCCGAGCGAAGCGAGGGTGAGCCGCTAGTATTTTATATAAATATGAAATATAATATTTTATAATGTCTTAAATGCTTGAAATTTAATGTCTTTCTTAATTAAATAGTGCGATCGGAGCTAAACAAAGTAAAATGGAAGCAATGGAACTATCTGATCTTCATCACCCCAACTGTAAAATAAATCGCGCATCTGGAGGCGGCGAAGTAGGTGCACTCGGTGGACTTGGAGCACTTGGCGGTCTTGGTCTCGGCGAAAGACGAGAATCTGAGAGTTCAGACTCATTGCTCTTATCTCCTGAAGCTGCCAAGGCTACTGAGGCTGTTGAATTTATCGCCGAACATTTACGAAACGAAGATCTTTACATTCAGGTAAAAGAATTTTTTGTCAATTTTTTTGTAAATTTAGTAGAACCCTAGCTTTAAATGTATCTTGAAAATTTACAATTATTTAATATACAGTTTTTTATATATCAACTTAAAATATTTTCAGACTCGTGAGGACTGGAAGTATGTGGCAATGGTGATCGACAGATTGCAATTATACATATTCTTTTTCGTGACCACAGCTGGCACTGTGGGTATTCTAATGGATGCCCCTCATATATTTGAATATGTCGATCAAGATCGCATCATAGAAATCTATAGAGGAAAATAAGCGACTTTTTTAAATTAAAGAAAAAACTTGCCATGTGGATTTAATATTATTTAAAAATACTCTAATTTCGCAAAGAAAGTGCAGTTGATCGACATAGTTCCTTTCAATACATAAATTATATTATACAGAAATATAAAAAGATGTTAATTCTTTTAAGTATTATAGTCAAATATTAATATTTACATAAATACGAATTATTTGAACAATTATGCTTAGCTCGATATCCACATAATATATGTAGTTATTCTTAAAAATGAAAAGCTTAGACTGTCACGCATCCTTTATATCACAGACTATAATATATATACATACATATACTTTGTCTGTATTCTATACTTAAAATAATGCCTTCTAGACTCATTGCCGGCATTGGCCATTGTAAAACGCTCAAAAATTAGTGCAATATTTTTAACTGACTTTATCTACTTATTAAAAATTAGATATATTAGAAATTTTATGATTACAATGAAGTAGCTTAATTTAACAAAACTGATAGAATTATAAAATGGCTGTGTTCGATGCTTATAAAAAGCACAATAGTATTGGATTAACATAATTTTTACGTATTTTGTATATTATCAACAATTAAAATTCAATGTAAGTCCTACCCTAAGTCCTAGAGTATAATAAAAAGTAGAAAATATTAGTTACGTTGTAAAATAACAACTGGTATATTTCGTAATACTTTCTTAGATTTACGCGAATGTTTGACATTATTAATTAAAACTATCTTTTCGGATTATTTCGCGGATTTATTTTGATTTTTGTTTCCCGACGTTTCGAATGCTTTACAGCATCCATGGTCACGGGAGAGACCTCGGGAAACAAATATCAAAATAAATCCGCGAAATAATCCGAAAAGATAGTTTTATTTAATAATGGTATATTTCGCTTATGATTTTCAATTTTCAATAGCGCGTACCGACCATTGTCATCATAAACTTTATACGACTAAAATTTTAAGATGTGTACAACAATAAATACACAAAAACTTCCAATAATAATAATATATTACGTATGAAAAATGTGTAATATCACTTATTGGTTTTTTTTCTTTTTCATAATGCACTAAAGTTTGTGTTATTTAACTAAAAGATAAAGGTTAAAATATAATTCATATAAAATTAGATTTGAATATTTCTTAGTATTTCCGTAAGGATCTGCAGTAACTAACGTACATGTAACGTTTCTAAAGGAATGAATCTTAGTATAATTACATAATGATTCGATGTAGCTCAACATAATATATACATACATATATAACGTCAAGTATGCTCCAAATGATTTTTATATAGAAATTATTATAGTAGAATATATTATTAGTTAAATTAATTATTCTTCCATAGTATATAAATCGATTATTTGTAAGTATTATTGTTTTTAGACTTACGATTAAATGATAAAGATTATTTTTGTTATATTTTTCCCCTTAACGATCGCGATCAACGCGGCTGTCTTTAGACTTTAGTCTTTATTACAGATTAAAAATAATTTAATCAGATAAAACACGAAATGGGTCTTTAGTTACTAACGTACAAATTTCCCATGTATTGCAAAGATGTATGTAGTCTCATTCTGGGGTCAGATTGTCTATTTCCTTGTGTGGTTTTATTGGTAATATAGCTGTTGTAGTAGAAGCTATATTTAATATATAACTATAAGGAATATCTTATACTTGAAAATTTAAATTAAAATGAAATTCTTTATTTATTTAATCGACTTCAAAATGCAAAATGTAGAAGGCTGAAACTACAATTATATTTAAAAAGACAATTTCATTATAAAAATATTATTATAATATTATAAATGCAACTGAGCAAAAATCATTATGTACGTAATGTCTCATTTTTATTATTAAAAAAAGAAATTTAAATATCGTATAAAATGGACGATATTATTTATATACTGATACAATATCGTATACTTACAGTGCAATAAATAAAAATTGTTAATAATTATCTAAAAGTAAATATAATTGTACTACTATTATATTTATATAAATATAATAGTAATACAATTATGTACTGACACAAAGTACACAAGTGTTTAGCCACAGTTCATTTATATTAAATTATATTTAAATCTTTATAAATAAGTACATCAATCAGTCTTACATTATGAATTCGTTGAACTTATCAATTATATATTATTAGAACAATTAAAAGCTTTGAGCTCGTTTCAATCAAAACGATATAAAAGTGGTAAAAGATTTATATATATATATATATATATATATATATATATATATATATATATATACATATATAACATATAATATTATATGGCTTTATGATTGGGACGCTTTCAAATATCGTACCTACCTACTGCTTACAAAAATTCAATATTAAAATATGAAATATAAACGTCACTCATCACATATCATATTATGTACATAGTTTCTTACATTCATATTATCTACACTGTTACATTATTTTTTATATATACTCTAATCGTCCATATCGTCATGAGAAGGTGAAGTTGGTGAATAGTTGGGTGAAGTGGGTGAATATGTGGAGGGTCCGGTAGAAGATGGAGAGTAGGCTGGTGATGTAGGGGAGTAGTTCGGTGATGTAGGGGTGAAGGTCGGTGAAGTCGGTGAATATTTTGTTGAAGATGGTGAGTATCCTGGTGATGATGGTGAATAATTTGGTGAAGGAGAATAATTCGGTGATGAAGGTGAATACTGAGTACTTCCTGGATGTTGTGGCGAAGAAGGTGAATATACGGTACTCGTTGGAGAGTATTGTGGACTCTTTGGCATATATTTAGGGTTCTTCGATGAATATGTAGGGCTATCTCCTGTGAATGACGGAGACGTAGGTGAATAGTTCGGTGAGAGCGAATATTTTGGTGAAGAAGGTGAGTAGCTTGGTGAAGTTGGAGAATAGGCGGGAGAATATGAAGGACTTGTAGGTGAATAAGCGGGCGCTGTTGAAGGGTAGTTGGGTGAAGACGGAGAATAACTAAGAGAAGCTGGGCTATAAGCTGGACTTGTTGGCGAATAACTCGGAGAAGATGGTGAATAACCCGGAGATGTCGGTGAATAAGCAGCACTTGTTGGTGAATACGACGGGCTCGTAGGTGAATACGACGGGCTTGTGGGAGAATAGCTCGGAGAAGTGGCTGAATAACTTGGTGATGTCGGCGAATACGCCGGACTTGTTGGTGAATAGCTGGGGGATGTTGGAGAGTAACTGGGAGACGTCGGTGAATACGACGGGGATGTAGGGGAGTAGCCCGGTGAAGTTGGTGAATAGCTGGGCGAAGTTGGTGAATAGATAGGGGAAGTTGGGGAATAATGAGGAGATGTTGGCGAATATGAAGGGCTGGTAGGCGAGTAATGTGGAGACGTGGGGGTGAGGCTTGGAGATGGGGCGGCGTAAGCTAGACTGGTTGGAGAATAAGAAGGTGATGCCCCGGCTGGGGAGGCGTATGGTGATAAAGGAGGTCCAGGTGATCCAGGAGACCCGGGTTGAGGTGACCAAGAACTGCTGTATGCTGGTGACAATCCAGATGCATCTGATGCTCCTGACGGTGAGAAGGATGGCCCACCTGGAGTCATACTGCTACCAACTGGAAAAATTATAAAAGTTTTGTAAGAACTAGTATCAGAAGTGTAAGTATAACTGAAATAAATACAAGTAATATAAGTAGCAACGTCATAAAATTTAGTAAAATGATACTTCTACAATGATAATTTTAAAAATAGAAAATATTTATACATATTTCTCATTTTTACCTTGACCTGGAGACCAAATACTACTTCCATATCCAGGAGTGCTTTGATGAGACCAAGGAGTCATGAGCGGAGTCATTGATGGGGTACCCATGCCAAAGTACATTCCGCCGCGAACTCCCATACCAACGTCCAGACTTCCCATTTCCATACCATGTTTACATTTTTCAGCATCGAGTAACAAATCGAAACAGCCTGGAATAAAAGAGAAATATTATAAAAAAAATAAACTTATATAGGTATTATGTACTGCGCCGACCCCAAGTGATTTGGGAAATGGGCAGGGAGAAGAAGAAGAAGAAGGTACTTATAATATTATAATGTAATTTTAGTCATTTATTCATTCTTGTGCCGTGATAACAAATAAACCTATTTCGCTCAAAATCACGTAGAACTGTTACTCTGTTGCTCCATAAAACATGCACAAAATCAAAATTACAAACTGACAACACACACACACCCTTACAATAATCCATATAATAAGAATGAAATGCTGATCATTGGTAAGCGAATCACTTGAGAACGGCTGAATAGATTTGGCTATTTTATGAATTTGGCTATATAATAGTAATAGTCTGAAAAAAAGTTTTCGGAAAAACATTGGAAAAGTTACCCTGAAAATCGAGAAATTCGGGGGAAACAGAAAGTGCTTTTTTCTACAAAGCTTTTGTATGTAACGTCTACTGACCCATCTATTTATCCATAAATTTATAAAAAGTAAATATTATCCAAAATACCTACCCATAAATAATATAAATAAGAGATAAAATTGAAATAGAATAACTTCGAACATGTCCATTCGAATATTTATTCAATCAAGAGTACTGCAAATACAAGATATGCATTTAAATACAACTTAAATAAAGAAAAAGAAAATAATATATGATAAAAGCACATATTAGTGCTTTAAAAATGGAGATTCCTATAAGTTAAAATTTATAATTCAAATAAACAGATTTTGATTTTTACCTGTGCCCATTCTTGGTAATTGTCCCATAATAATATTTTCAGATACACCCCTCATTGGATCGACTTCAGCATGACTTGCAGCATCAAGTAAAACATCAACGGTTTCCTCAAAAGAACATCTCATAAGAGCTCCAGTGTCTTGTCTATTGATACCGTGACGAGTGATGGCCATAAGGTGACCTTTGGCTGTCATGACATCACAAAGCAAAGCAAGATGACGATAGTTCACGTATAAGCCGTAGAACTGCAATACAGCATTCATTTCCTTTTCAATAGACTTTCGCACTGCTTC